TCAACATCAAAAAGCCTAAACATTATGATAACCAATTAAGATACCAATACTGTAACGATGTTTTACAATAAATGAACTCACAAGAATAATATAATACCCGGTTTTCTTATCTTTGAAAACTTCTTCTAATTCTTCCACTTCTTCAATAACTTTCTCATATGAAAAAAAATCTGAAATCTTCTGAATAATTTGGTTTTTTTCACGTGGTTTTGTTGCTGGTCTGCGTAAAAGTTCTCGTTTAATGTATAGGGAGTGAACAAGTTTAAAACGCCCTTCGAATAAATCACTGCGATTTATAAGTGATGTATCAATTTGAATTTCTTTTGCGCCAAAACACGGTTTGTAGAGTAGTTCATGAATGTAATGATCTAAAATTAATATTGACGTTTAACATTAATATCAGTATGTTATAACGACTAATACTAAGCTAAATATAAGTTTGCCAAGTGAAATCCTATAAATGAAATTATTAAAAATTTCTCTTGGTTTCTCATTTATCAAAATTATTATTACCCATATTATGATCGTACAAGTCAGGTAATGCTTTAGTAACGGTAAACATCCATCCAGCATTATTCATAGCATTATCTGAATAATAGTTTAAGAGATATCCCACAATCATTGTATCTATACGACGATCACCAGAATAATTAATAGCCACTTGTAAATCACTTTCTTTTTGTTCCAGAGGCCATGCGTAAAGTCTAGGGAAATGTAAATGTTTTGACAACCTTGAACTTATTCCACGTGGACTTTTATCATCCTTTTCAAATAAAATTGTTCTGATTAAAGAAACGCATTGTCCACGAATCAATGCTTGCATGATTTCATATCTAGCGTCCATCATCCTCCAAACATCTGGGCATGCCTTTATGATTCTTTTTAATATATTTTTTGTTTGACGAAACAAATCACGATATATTACTTTTTTCTTGGGTGTTCATTTATTGTAAAACATCGTTACAGTATTGGTATCTTAATTGGTTATCATAATGTTTAGGCTTTTTGATGTTGA